ACTCATGGGACAAAACTCAAAGAAATAAAAATTAGAACATTTAAAAGAAATACAGTATTCCTTGTGTTCTTACCTAACTATTAATTCAATGCAATTAGACTGGTGTCAAGTTACTACAATATAGCTAATTTGAATTTGAAAAGGTTCACTTTTTTTTTGAGACACACTGTAGAAATACTAAATCAGTTTTTGTCCCAATTATTATTTACCTTCAAGGCTACCCCTATTGCATGCAAATCAACCGAACAATCTGATAGGGAGACAAAATCTATTTGTTAATATTTTTGTTTAATTAATATGTCAGCTTCAGATGACACCATTCATTGTACTCAGTCAGAGATTGTACTCAGTCAGAACTACAAAACTATATAAGAAAGAAATTGTGAGCATTATCGAAGCATATTCTTGGGTTTCATATGACGTCACAGAAGTGACAGGGGGGCGAGAGGTCAACTCTAAAACAAAACACAGTTATCAGAGTGAGTCGATTGTTTGTTTTATGTATTAGCCTTGTGTTTGGTGGCAATACATGGAATTTCGTATAATTTTCTCACTCCAGTACAGCATAAGCATCAATACATGTGAGGTTGACCCCCCATCAGATCCACTGCATAATGCCTAGTTAGTGAAACCCAAGAATAGCATACCCGGAAACATATTGCATGACACAGCCAGGTGAATGTATGAGTATAGGTCGGTAGGATTATTTCATATTATGTTAAAGATGCTGTACAGTCTTATCTGCACACGTGCACAAAGGAGGAGCCCTCTTTTTAATATACAAACAGTTTATTTAGGTTTTATTTCGTTTTATGTTATTGCAAAGCTTGATTGTTGTCTCTTTATAATTTATTATACTCTAGAATCAAGAAAATATAAATAGTTGTCGAATAAAATTCTATATTTTGGATACCGAAATGTAAACAAACCCTTTGTTTACATACGGACTGTACCGCATCTGTACCGCATCGCAACAATGGAGATGTCTCAGAGATATTAATATAAACAGCCCATCAGGCATGCATGCATGATACCCGGCCTTGTACAAAAGTCAGTTGACATGCTATTTGCATGTATTAACTGCTGGTAGCCTGCTATTAAAGTTAATATATACAGACAACAATCCCCACACTGGGTGCACAAGTATTAACAGTCCGTCTGTCCGCGTTTGTTTTTAAAACGTGCTGAAAGCACCATTGCTATAAACATCTAAAATGAACACTTTATAAAATTCATCGCCACACAAACAAATAAACTCAAAGTACATTCCCAAGCTCCTTGTATATAAAATAAGATAGCTGTCATTAATATTGACATCATGAAATATCATATGTTTCAATACCTCTGTATCGAATGCTATAAAGCAGCAGATCTAAATGCCTTCATGTATATCACCAGACAACCTCGTCCCCAGGGTCTTCCTCGTGGTGGCGCGTGAGCTGAGGAAGACCCTGGTAAAATACGATGAAATCTCCAAGATTCTTGGAGATTTATCGCATGCGCAGTAACGACAACGTTATGTTGCTGACTACAATTAGCGCTGGCGCTTACGATTTTCTTGCTTGAAAATATGCATGTTTTGTTGAATGTGTATGGATTTATTTTCAAAGTTTTAACAACTTTTACGAAAAATTCTTCAGATATAAGCTGTGAACACACATGTACACAAAACTGTGCAACATTTATGATCATATTGTATCAATTTGTCGGAGTATAGCGCTCAAATTTGTGACATTGTTTTGTTCGCTTTGGCAATCCTCGTATATATCAGATGCTGTTCGACCTCAAATGCGACTGAATAAACACTGATAGTGTTGCCTGGAATATGAAATGATATTGAATGATTGTTCTGTATATCAAGGTATGTACTGTACATTTATACTGAAATCGGAAATCACATTTTCTAATAAACTCAGTTTCACACATACAGCAAGACTTCATTTCACACATACAGAAAGACTTCAGAAATCACAGTTTTTAACATATAGAAAAACTTCATATTATCTCATCAGTTAATCAAATTATGATAACAGTACGTAGTAGGAATGCTTAGAAAGATTTTATTCTTTTTTCCATATACAGTGTACAACTGTTATTTCAATTTTCTCTTTCCTATATTTTCTTTAAAGCAGGTACTGTTCTGTTACAAAACAACTAATAAACATTTTATTATCTTAACAGGTGAACCATATTTTACATGAACTTGGGGAAAAAAACAACTTGAATTCCATGGAAATATATATAATCATGTCATCAATCAGATAGTAAACAATCATTAAGATGGCCTCAAGATTATATTTCACAGTGACCAACATGAAAATTTTTAAATGGGAATTAGTTGATGGCATTATAGTTTTCTAATGCTATATAATTTTGTTCATCAAGGTGAAGAAACCTTAACTCACTATAGCTTTTCCTGTTACAGAGCTATGGTAGTAATCTTAGAAGATTTTCATGATCCCTCGATCTATTCAGTAGTTCTTTAACCAGTCTGGTATTATGACTGTATTATGTTAAATAGCCTTGTGTGACTTTTGTATTTTGTTTCTTTAATAATATTTACAATGATCAAAATTACAGTTTAATCTTTGTATTTCTAATGATAATTACTTGCACATATCCATCACACTTCTCTGTTACTATTAAACTTATTACTATCATGCAAGTAAAATCTCTTTGGAAAAATAAAATGTTGTCCCAGGATAGTCATAAATATCAGCTAGTAAAACTAATGAATATATGCCTATAATCATGTACATATGACTATCATATAATATGTTGTAATTCATTTAAGTGTTTCCAATTAAATAAATTTCTATTTTCAGTTGTTCATTGTTCAAACTAATTTGAAACCTACAGTATATGTAGTTGCTATGATTCAGATTAATATCCAAAAGTGTGCCTTTTACTTCAGTCCTTATAGACTCCTCCCTAATACAGACACTTTATTGTGCCACTCCAATGTTCATTCAAAGTGATCCAACTGACATCTGAGCTGGTGATAATATACAACAAAATATTGGAAGTAGGAGTATATCAGATAAGTTGTTCATTCAGTCAAGACCTTCAGGTTGTGCTGATCATCATATCAAACTCCATCACATATTGTGCCTTAAAAACATATACAAATTTTAAAAGTTGTTGCAGCACACTGGGCCATTCCATCTAATATAACCCCCACACCCTATTGAGGGGTCTCTTCATAATACCTTTTAATAATTTTGGAACCTCATTGGATGCAATTTTGGAACCCCTATGGATGTCTTTCTACCCCTTTAGGATATTGTTCCTGCCCCTTTGGATATCACTAAAACATCTAATTTTTAGGAAATCTCTTAAGCTACCCTCCACAAAAATTTAAGGTAAAAACCCCCTCTATAAAATCCTCATATAGGATATCCAGACCTCAATAGACAATGGGCTATTCCAATTATTATCCGCACCCCCCTGTTGGGGAACCATGGAATTTCCAGGGGAGGGGGTGTATTAACCTTGGAATTTCCAGGGGAGGGGGTGTATTAACCTTGGAATTTCCAGGGGAGAGGTACATTAACTTTAAATTTCCAGGGGAGGGAATACATTAACCCTGGAATTTCCAGGGGAGGGGGTGCATTAACCCTGGAATTTCGAGGGAAGGGGGCATTCAGGCTCTGGATTTCCAACGGGAGGAGTAATTCTCACATGGAATTTCCAAAGGGAGGGGTAAATTTGATGGGATGGAAATTCCATAGGAGGACATATGTTAGAGGGAAATGTCCAGAAGTAAATGTCCCATAATGGAAATTCCATAGGGAGGGGTAATTTACACATGGAAATTCCATGGACAGGGCCTAATTTAAAATGGAAATTCCATGGGAAGGGTAATTTTTACAAGGAAATTCCATGGGAAGGGGTAAATTTTAGATGAAAATTTGCGGAAATTCCAGGGGAGTACCGACATGAGAAAGGGGTTCCTCAACAGGGGGGGTGCGGATAATAATTGGAATAGCCCAATAGGGGGGGGGGGGCTATTAAATGGAATGGCCTATTTGGAATGGTGAGTGGTGACTACCAAGGAAAATGAAACATGCTGGCCTGCTTTACATACAGAATAAATTTTGAAGCATTTCTACTGTTACTTGTAACGATAATCAGATTTGATGAGAAAATATGGAGTCTTTCTGTATGTTAGTGATGTGATCTCATTGTTCATAAAGCTGAAATAGTTTGAAACTCGTGTGAAAATAAATCCAGTATAAATGTACAGTACGTACCTTGATATACGGAACAATCATTCAATATCGTTTCATATTCCAGGCAACACTATCAGTGTTTATTCAGTCGCATTTGAGGCCGAACAGCATCTGATATATACGAGGGTTGCCAAAGCGAACAAAACAATGTCACAAATTTGAGCGCCATACTCCGACAAATTGATACAATATGATGATGAATGTTGCACAGTTTTGTGTACATGTGTGTTCGCAGCTTATATCTGAAGTATTTTTCGTAAAAGTTGTTAAAACTTTGAGAATAAATCCATAAACAATCAACAAAACATGTATATTTTCAAGCAAGAAAATCGTAAGCGCCAGCGCTAATTGTAGTCAGCAACATAACGTTGTCGTTACTGCGCATGCGATAAATCTCCAAGAATCTTGGAGATTTCATCGTATTTTACCAGGGTCTTCCTCAGCTCACGCGCCACCACGAGGAAGACCCTGGGGACGAGGTTGCCAGAAAGAAATAAAACCATTCTTACCTGATTTATTCTTTGATATTCGTTTGCAATCCAACATATAAACTCGTATGATCGCGTATTAAAAGTTTAATTAATTTAATAGACTGCCTGCACAAACGCACAATACAAAACAAAGTTTGACCGCCCCCCCCCCCCTCGTTAAAAGAAACTTCCTGAAGCTTAATTATTCCTCCCGGAAATCATCTTAACAGACAGACAGACACAAATCAGAGGAGGGTGGAAGATCTTCCCAGCATGCATTGCAACTCATTAATATTCACAATCATGATTTTTCACAATGTTAGTTGGAAAAGTTGTGGATATTTATTTCGATATTTCGCCACGAAAAGTTCGTATTTTTGAAGGTAAGTTTTTATAATTGTTTTAAATATGAGTCAAATTAACGATTTTTTCTTTATTTGGTGTTTTAACAACGTTTAGTTGTATGTTAATCGCAATTTGTATTGACCTGTTTTCCGGGTCAATGCACAAGTGTCAAAAGTGGCTTTCAAAACCGCTGGGGACAATTGGGTTTATAAATGAGTAAATTAAATAAAAGACACGGCATCGTATTCAGGAAGAGTTGTTCTTTCTATGAGAAGTTTAAAAAATGAATTGTCCCCATCAAACTGACGAGTAATCGCGGTTTGAAAATGGGGCATTTTCGGTATACTATGTCGCCCATCGCGGGAATAGTCGACCGCATGGGAATTATGGCGCGAGGAAAATTACTGTGCGAGTCGTTATTTTTGTTTTATTTCGAAGCATGCGCATATATGTCGGGTGATTGCTAGATAGTATACTTCAAAATAAGGTTTCCGTTTTTATAACGTAGAAAAAACTATCCTAACGCAAAACTAAACCCTAACCCTAATACTATCCCTCACCCTAACCTTAACCTAACCCTAACCTAAACCCTAACCTAACCCTAACTTATTTTAAAAATAGAATAAAAACGGAAATCTTATTTTGAAGTATACTATCTAGCAATTGCCATATATGTCGATCGTTGTTGAGTTTAACTGCTGCATTTAAGTTAAATACACTGTATTTTACCATTATTTTTATAGAATTCGAATATATTTTGTGAAAATGGAATCTGATGATGGCAATGTTGTTTATATTGTTGATCCTAAGTATGGGAAAAGTTGAACTTATGAATTTAATGCTGTTTTAGAACTGTTATTGAGCAAACTGTTCCTACATCCTGCTTTGGCAAATGGTATAACATCTAATCCAGCCAAGTTGTGCTCATGATCCATTCAACTGATTCAAGCAATGAAACTATTGAACCAGAATAATAAGAGCAACCTGTTATATAAATTTGCCCATACCTGCCTTTTAATAGATACATATTTTAGTAGACATTTTACATATAAATATTGGTGTATTGGTGACATGAAAATGTTGCAATGAATCTTAAGTATTTACTTTATATATTGTAACTTTGAATAAAGCATTTTATTAACATCAATTATGTATGACCACTGCATTTGTATGACCACCAAATATCAGGGGTGGATTTACTGGGGTGTGTGCACCCCCCACCTAGCCCTGGCCAGAGGGTATGCAGGGGGGGGGGTATTTTCATGATAAAGCAAAAAATATTAGAGACAAAATGAGTAATTTGAGTAATAACATGATGATAAGTAAACTGTTTGTTAACAATTACAACACAGTAGTCAAGCAAGACTTTGCTGTAGTCAAGTAAGTTGATGGGTGGGTGGTGCACCTGACTGACACAACTTGGCACCAGAGCTGGCAGAGCACCCTCCCTACCACATACTGGATCCAGTGATCCATCTGTGCTAAATATACAACAGTTAAAACAGTGTTAAGAACACATGCACAAGGTGGACTATAAGATAAAGTAGGGTTTGATGACTGCAGTAAACAAACAGCAAATTGAGTTTGAAAACATTTATTTATTTGAAAAAGGAATGGTAAAATTATATTTAACAATTATTCGCCAAAGGCGAGGTGATTATCGGGGAATATTTGCCGAGGTGAATATTCCCAGATAATCACAGAGCCTGAGGCGAATAATTGTTTTAGTATTTTTGCACAAGATTTTTTGTATTTTTCTGGTCTGAATTCATTTTAATTTCGCTTATTTCTTTATTACTAACTTCAACAAAACAGCTAGCCGCCACTTTGAAAATTTCGATTTTGTTATAATATAACAGATTAATACGTCAAATTTGACCAATCACCTTGTAGCATTTGTTATGTTCACTTGTGCAAAAATACTAATATCAAATATTTACCTGAAATAATAACAGTGTTTTAATAGGAATAAATTTATATGAAAATATCAACTAAAAATGTCTTGCTCATGTTCTACTTTAAATTTCAACTTGAGATTTTTTGATCATCTATACATGATTATCACAAGTTACATGGTATCTTTGTTCTCGCCAGGAACCAGCTACAACAAACTTCTCAGGATACAAAGTGTCCTCCACAATCCTTGTCTTAATTCTCAGGATACAATTATATGTCTCCTCCACAATCCTTGTTCTTCAGAATCCTTGTCTCCATCATTTTCCTAATCAGAGCTTGGATCATTCATGTATTTAGCATCACCAGTAGCCTGTTACACACCCAACAATTGGGTCAACTGCTGAATTTCATCAATCTTGTCCATGTCTGCAACTCCACCTTCTGCACCAATACTTTCAACATCACCAGGCATCTCTTCACCATGAATTTTAACCAAACACATAGGATTTAATGGCTGTTTAATGCAATTGCATAACAATGGCTCATCTAAATTCACAGTGGTAGGTCATTCAGTATATCCTCTAAAATATCCAGCTTGGGTGGTCAGATTGTTACAGAAGTTGGTGATGGAATAATGTTAAACTCCCACAACAGAACACAACATAAGTACTATAACAGGTAAAAAAAAGATTTGATGCATTTATACAGGGACGTTGGAACAATAAAAAGGCAAGGGCACCTTTATAGACCTACAATTATGTGTTGACTTGCCAATGAAAGCCTGATTGTGCATGTTCCATTGACAATAGCTGTTCTGTGTTCTGGAAATAAAGTCTACTCAAGGAACTATAACTGCACAAACACACTTAATCAGGTCACATTCAAGTTCACACCTCATGACTTTGCCCAAAACTGGAGATAAGATTTAGCAGGCAGAATTTCTATAACACAAAGTGCACTTCTGCCCCCCTTGCCCCTCTCCCTGCTTTTATATTAAAATAGATTTGACTCATTTGACATAAACTCATAAAGTCAAATACTTGTAGTCTTGTATGATTTCCGAGTATAAATGGCCCATTTTCCCACCAATTAAATCATAAAATAATCGTACCTTAAGGTCACAACTAGAATAGATTTCTATCAATGAAGGACTATCGCATTCGGCGAACATATAATAAGTCAACTTTTACGCCAAATGTTGTCGTTATCCATTCAACTAGAAGTTCGACATCCCTTCACGAAGCAGCTCCAGTCGCTCTTCCGACACACAATGTACATAAAGATTGTCACGTCCATCCAAATCAGTAGCTTTGTTGCCACGAACAGTACGAAAATTCGCCATGATTTACAATTTTCAATTTGTACTTTTGAATACCGCTCCTTGTAAATTGAGTAGTGAACACAACGAGAGCCAGTCGAACAATGACGGCGCGTCCCGGGAAATCGATAATATGAATGAGTTACAATGCATGCCGGGAAGGGCTTCCAACCTCCCCATATGTTTCAATACCTCTGTATCGAATGCTATAAAGCAGCAGATCTAAATGCCTTCATGTATATCACCAGAAAGAAATAAAACCATTCTTACCTGATTTATTCTTTGATATTCGTTTGCAATCCAACATATAAACTGGTATGATCGCGTATTAAAAGTTTAATTAATTTAATAGACTGCTTGCACAAACGCACAATACAAAACAAAGTTTGACCGCCCCCCCCCTCGTTAAAAGAAACTTCCTGAAGCTTAATTATTCCTCCCGGAAATCATCTTAACAGACAGACAGACACAAATCGAGATCTCGACAATACATAGATCGCGCGAAAGACTGGGTCGAGTGGACTCTGGAGAAACCACCGCGTGTCAAGAATAGGGTGCTGCTTTCGGCAGCAATGATTTTTCCCCTCAATTTAAAAAAATTAAATCGATACGTTTCTTAGAAAATTAAAAAACGTCAAAAATCGTTTTTAAAAATTTTCCCTTCGATTTAATTTTAAGAAAAAAGGATATTGCACTTGTTGTGCCGATATTAAAAAATTTTACCGAAGGAAAACAGAGAAATTTGGGTTTAATTTGGGCAATTTTTACTAGATTTTTACGCGAACAATTTAATACCCCAAATGACGTGTACTGCATTTTGCAAGAAGGCATGAATTTTTTGAAATCACAAAATATAAATTATGTTTGATATACTGTTTATAACTGTGTCTGTTAATGGTCAACTTAGCGTGGATTATACATGTAAAATTGGCAAAGATATTTAGGTAATTACTGGTTATGACTTCTTGGTATTAATTTGAAAAATGTTCTGTCAAAATTCGTCCCGTGCGAGTTAGTACATACGTCGTTCGTTCGTATTTTGAAGTCACACGAGTTTTAGTTTACATAGTCGAAGAACGTATTGGGGATTTAGCCAGAATGCCTTGGCATGTAATTAATCAATATAATAATCCCAACGAATGCTGGAGGGTATGGAAATCTTTCTTTAATGAGATATTAAATATACATGCGCCGATTCGACATAAGCGAGTAAAGGGGAACTCGGTCCCATGGATTACTCCGGAAATTAAATGTATGATGAGAAACAGAGACTATCATAAAAAATATGCAATAAAACATTCCTCACAGCCACATTGGGAAAGTTTTCAATTTCTGCGGAATAAAGTGAATGTTGAAATGCGAAATGTAAAATCAAAATATTTTCATGATAAAATCACTGATTGCTCTGTAATGAATGACCCTAAAAAGACTTGGAAATTAATTAATTCATTATTGGGAAAGAATAACAAATCCAACAATGTGAATGAGCTGCTGGTTGACATCACGTTAGTTTCGGATCCTAAATCTATTGCAGATGCATTTAATGACTATTTCATTAGTATTGGATCGAAGCTAGCAGCAGAATATGTAGACGAGTCCTGTAGTAATGTTGATAATCAGCCCATAAACTATAATATTAATCAATCCTCAGATACTTTTTTTAAAGTATCTCCAATATCCGTTGATAGTGTTGCCTCGACCCTAAGAGGCCTAAAAGCATGTAAAGCAACAGGTCTTGATAAAATTCCTGCTAAAATTCTAAAATTATCTGCAAACATAATTGCACCCTCGTTGACATTCATCTTCAATTTGTCGCTTGCAACGGGCGTATATATAGATGAATGGAAGCGTGCTCGTGTTACGCCAATATTTAAATCCGGGGATAAAAGACAATGTGAGAACTATCGGCCTATTTCAATTTTACCGGTGGTGAGTAAAGCCTTTGAGAAGGAAGTTTTCCGTCAAGTATATAGATACTTGTCTGAAGGCTCTCTTCTGTCAAAGTTTCAATCTGGATTTCGTCCAAAGCATTCAACTGTAACTGCCCTCATCCAAATGTGTGATGAGTGGCTAGAAAATATGGACAATGGAAAGTTAAATGGGGTTGTGTTCATAGATATCAAAAAGGCATTTGACTCTATAAACCATCGCCTTTTGGTAAATAAAATGAATGAGCAATTTGGAATTTTTGGCGTAGAATTAAAATGGTTTGAGTCATATTTAGCAAATAGAGAACAGCAATGTAATGTTAATGGAGAATTATCTAGCAATAAAATTATCACCTGTGGAGTGCCCCAGGGATCTATACTGGGACCACTGCTGTTCCTATTATATATTAATGATTTGCCCGATTGTTTGAAATCAACTAATCCATGCATGTACGCGGATGATACTCAAATCTTTCATCTTCCTACGATGCAAACGAACTTGTTGTAAATTTAAATTCAGATCTTGCCCATGTCTGTAACTGGCTTAAAGAAAATAGGCTGCAGATGCATCCATCAAAATGTAAAATGATGTTTATTGGCTCCCCGTATAATCTTAATAATATAATGTGTGAGGAACCCGTTGTGGCTAATGCAAAACCCATATCACGAATTGCTACACAAATGTGCCTAGGAGTAAAACTAGATGAAACCCTTAATTGGGATAGTCACATTGAAATGATATGCAAGAAGGCGAGCGCTGCTATTGGCGCGATGAAACGTATAAAGCCCTTTGTTCCAATGCATACCTTAGAATCGATTTATAAAAGTCTTGTGCAGCCCTACTTTGATTATTGTTCCCCCCTTTGGGACACTTGTGGTAAGTTGCTAAGAGACAAGTTGCAAAGATTTCAGTCTCGTGCAGCAAGAGTGCTAACGGGTGCTAATTATGATACTCGCTCAGCTGATCTTCTCAACATGCTTTCTTGGGATACACTTGAAAATAGGCGGTCTGGTGCCAAGTCAGTATTAATGTATAAAATACTTAACGACCACACTGCGCCAGGTCTCCGGGGGTCATTCGTGAGAAGAGAAATAGATCAAACTAATTATCATCTTCGAAACACAGCAACTGATCTAACAATTCCTAAACCGAAACGAGAATTTCTTAAAAAAAGTTTTAAATATAGCGGCGCTATGCTCTGGAATCAACTCCCAAACGAAGCAAAATTGGCCGAGTCGCCTCATTCGTTTAAATCAATTGTTGGACAGCGACATGCTTCCTAATTATTTGTATATAGTCACGTGTACAGTATGTGTGTATTAATATTTAGTTTAAATTTTCCTTTTAATGATTTTTATGATCTAAACACGCCCCCCATGGAAACCAGCCTAGAGTTGATGGGGCTAGCGTGTTCTTCTTTCTGTTAATTTTAAATAAAGTATTACCTACCTACCTACCTACCTAACCCCCGGAAATAAAACCCTAGGGAGCCACCTTAATTAGTCAGCTTTTGACGTATGATATTTTTAGAATGAACGAAATGAACAACTTCCGGTGTAAACAAATTTTTAAAAAATTTAATCGTGCTGAATATCGTACAGGTTGTCACTACTGTTTTATCGTACTATCTTTTATACGGGTATTTATTGAATAATCTCTGTTTTTAAACCATGGCATATAAAGACAAAGTAACAGGGGAGAACGTTTCAAAGTGTTTATGTGTTATACTTCTTGTACTGCAAAGCTGTATACTGGATTATTATTTGGTCGAAAACCATTCCTTAGCTTGGATTGGATTTTCACTTGTTGATCTCGTCATCATTATTCTATGGATTGCAGCTTTATACATTGCTTCTAAACAGTGCCGAAAACAAACTCACGAAGTGAGAAAAGCAATACGCACAAGCCCGGACGAGTTACGAGTCGCCTATGTCGCATGGCTGGTTTATGCTGTGGGATACGCCATTCAAATATCATTTATATTCAAAACGTTTGCACATAAGTTGGACAATGCTCAGACTACAACGATATTTGGGCAAAATATGCTGAAGTTATCACTGACTATAACACCAATGTTGTTTTTATTATTAGTGCATGCCCATCATGACGCGGTTCCAAATACATCTCGTAAGTATTATATTGAAAAGCTGACAGGATCAGTGACCATTGACCTGATGGATAGTATTGAGATCTTGGAAATATTATTCACAGATGTAGCTGAAAACAATCTCCCCACAAGCTTTGAAAATACTATTATAGCATTTGCATGCATCAATGTGTTCTTGCCGACCCTTGCACTGCATGCATTAAAACAGAAAAAAGTATGGCATGGACAAGGTGGTTTATTTCCATCTAAAGTTTTATACCACCTTTGCTATATTTTTCTTGTCAATGTGCCCTTATTTATTATACGCATACTGCTTTGGGTTTGCTATGAACAAGATGTATCTGTATTTCTTGCCAAAAACTTTATTCTGATTGTGATGAATTCCTGGGATATTGTTGAGCATTATTTTCATCACAAGAGACCAAGTTGTAGTGCTTCATCCAACGACAATGTTGCTCTGGAGGACGAACCAAGTGGAAAAGATGAGACAGCAGTAAATGCCCATGACTCAGGTGAAAATATAAAGATTGAGATATCTAGTTTGAATGGGAATGAAGATGTGCATTTGGGTATGGGTTATGTTTAAGTGTTTTTGGGAATTTGGATATATTATAGATTATATTCAACTTATGTATGTTAGAGATAAATACAGAGAACAAGGGATGTATGCTACAGTATATATACACATGTCTGAGGGACTGAAGGCGGGTGACATTCAAAAGTGGTCTGGGGGCATCCCCCCCGGAAAAATTTTAAAACTAGAGTCTCTGAAACTGCCATTTCCTGCACTTTAGATGGAGATTTACAGAGTTCTAAAGGTAACAAAATGTCATAAAATATCTCAAATTGTTTTGTCTACATGCGTAACTGAAATAATATCAATTAACTTTGTGGTTAATTATTGACCATTGTTAAAAAGTGAGGGGAGCCCAAAGACATTTAGGCCCCCCAACTAAAAAAGTGCCCCCCCCCCCTCCCCCGCTTCCGACGCCCCTGCCTCTAAATATACAATCTCGTACCCAGAGCAATGACTGTGCGCGGGCTAGGATGGCATTGGCTCTGGGGAAATTGAATTTTTCCTTTGCTGTTATTTGTTTTAACGTTTATCAATCGTGCATGCCGACAAAGAACCGGAACCCCTAAATTTAGGGGTTCCGGTTGTCAATTTCCCCAGAGCCAATGCCATCCTAGCCCGCGCACAGGCATTGCTCTTGGTACGAGATTGCCAACTATACGCCTCCATGAGTCCATGTAATGCCGGTTTTCCACTTGCGAAATTTTTCGCGCGAAGCGAATTTTTCATTTGTCCTTGGTCTCTCAACTGGAACCATCTGGAACTAATTGGATAAAGACAAAAGAAAAATTCGCTTCGCGCGAAAAAATTCGCAAGTGGAAAACCGGCTTTAAGCCTTCCATGTGAGGCTTAAGCCTGGCGCACACTGAAGCTATCAGCTGAGCTGAGCGTCACTCGTGACTGTTGGCGTAAGCAAGTTCCCCCAGTGTGTGGTGGCGTTTTGAGCGATTTCAGCCACGCCTGCCATTGGCACCGAATATTCAACATGTTGAATATATTTTTTTCTATCACGAATGAACATTTCCTCCAAGCGTGCGCGCTCGAAAAGCTATCACCTTTCATTGTAGATCGAATAACTATAAGCATGCGTAATAAAACATAACACAAAAGGACCCAAAAGGAAAATAATTAATGAGGAATGTAATACTTGAATAGCGAGCAAATGTTTGTTGTAAATGAAGCTGCGGTTTTGCCAAACCCGAAGAAAGCCACAAAGTTTTGTTTAGCAGTGTCTTGAGAGTTGATGTATTCTTTATTAAAATTAAGCTATTTCTAATGACTAATGAACAATATTATACTAAGTCTAAAAGCGCGTAAATGATGTTATGTTTGCAACATATAGTCTATCAAGATATTATGGTCTGGAAACTAAACAGAAGTGTTTGTTATGCAGTATGATTTTGTCTGAGTTTATGTTAATATGCATGTGCACTGTCACGGTGATTGAGCTCATTGTATTTTCGTATAATTAAGTAACCATCTAAAGCCGGTTTTCCACTTGCGAATTATTTCGCGCGAAGCGACTATTTGCTTTTGTCCTTGAGCTTTCCGGCTGGAACCATTTTAATTGAACTAATTAGTTTAGACAAAAGAATAGAGTCGATTTTTCCATTAGGCGGAATTTTGCGCGCGGAGCGGATTTTTTCTTTGTCTTGTGATTTCTCGGGTGGAACTAATTAGAAAAGACGAAGAAAAATTCCGCTCCGCGACGATTTCGTCGCGACGGCGCTACTATTTCTGTAAAGGTTGATTTTTGTTGCAGTGAGGGATTTAAAGTTATTCTGTTGAACGCTATGCGGTTTTCAAATCATCTTAATGTATAATTTCTCACATTTTATTCAACATTTTGTAAAGTTATAATATTTTGTAGTATATTTATAGCGCGTGTTACTATATTTAGAGCGTGATGTTTTCAAGTGTACAACTGGCTCACATTTTACCAGCAGTGGCAAGCGTTGACCCATGCGCACAACAACAAAAACTTGTCAAACTTTTTTTACCGGTTGAGAATTTAATGTATTCGTCCGTAAATCTGGACGGCGGCTACATGAAACGATCGCTCGTTTGCTCGCAGTGGTTTCTCCCCAGCTCAGAAACCACTGCCAGCAGGGTAACAATACCTTTAGGTTAGAGTTAGGGTCAGGCCGGTTTACCTTTTAAGTGTATTATATTCAATCAAAATAATATCTTTAATTAAAGTGAGTATAAAGGGTTGGAGAATGGAGAAAAGACTTGAGAAAGGGACATTTACTTCCATGCTTGTTCATTGATTATTAATTTGTAATTTCATATATATTGCCAGGACCAGAGAAAACATTAAGTACTTATAAGTGTACTACAACAGGTGTAGTGGGAAATTTGTCGTCGCTGACCAAAAAATCGCGGGCAGAAACAAAGCTCGTTGCATTTTATACTGATTTACATTCAAAATAAAGCAGAACGTTAGCAAGAAGCTGTTTTAGCTGACGATTTTTTGCTTTCATTTCAACGATTTACAAATTAACGGTTATTCTTTTAAAAGTCGACTATGAATTCTTTGTTTTGGGATGATTTGTTTTGTAATCGAGTGATTAGAAGAAGTTAATATGGCGACGTGAACATGGGAGTAATAACATATACGTCGATCTGTGGCTTGTTTAAAACCGTAATAAACGAAGAAAGACGTGATATGAGAATGAAATGTAAGTTGAAATTAACTTTATATGCCTCAAATTTTCCATCCTATGTTTCTTAATGTAACTTCAGCTGTCTAAGTTCAAAATACAAGCTCGCGAAATTTGACAAATTTTGAAAATATGTAAAAATAGCTTGACTTTGAACTGTATTTTCTCAAAAATAGCCCGTGGCCTCAATTTCAAATATAGCTAAATGAAAAGAAAAAATATTTCGGCGTTTGTAGGTATCAAACATATCGTCAGGAAAATAGGGGCTCACAATGTTTTAGCTGGGTATTTGAGACCCAGTTGCTTCGCACGTGTTGTGGTCAATTTTTTGCCAAGAATCAAAGGCCGAAATGTGAACTTCCTTCATGAAAACCAGCTCGAGAAGGGTCTAGTTTAAAAATTTAGCTATATTTCCATTTCATGAGCATAATTTGGCCATACATTTGGCAATTGCGTGGCTCATTTTGCTCGCGCATGCTCAGACAAATTTCCCACCTGTTGTGTACTACTGTATGACTGTGAATTACTATTATTAAATTACCCCTTCTTTCAAAATTTGATAAATTATTTTTTAGAAATGTTATTTCGCTGTCACTCGAGGCCATTTTGCGCCAATTTCCATATTTCGCGCACGCATTCGAATTGTGTTAAATGCTGAATTTTGAGCCGCTGACATGATCTGATTTGATCGCGGACGGGGGTCACAGAACGCCCGGGATAAATTGATTACAAATAAGGTATATGTATTTGTTGTAGTTTGAATCACGTTTTATTACTAACTATAAAATAATACATATAAGATGACTCATGAATTTCAAGGTGGCGGATGACTACCATATAATTACTAATATTATTATTATTTAAGAAGATTTAATCACGGTAGCCTTTCACAATTAGTCAGTGATTTTCAAAGAGTCGTGTGTCACACAAAAATATTTATATAACAAATATTTACAACTATATATGTACTAAAGCGTACTGCAATCCGCGGCCAAGCGCAAACCGCAAACACCCCTGGGAGCAAAATTCGCGAAGCCCCGTTTGCGGCCCGTGCTCGGACGCAAATTTACAGTCAATTAAAGTAATGCTTAAGAAATTTAGGAAATGAATTTACTGATTGACACTCAACTACCATTCGTATCATATCAGAGGGTTGTTTGTTCCAGGAAGCTGCTCCGCGAAAGAAACTCTTTTTTAGGAAATCTGTTTTTGACTTAGGCAGACTCATTTTAAAACTCACTTATGAAACAACATTGTCAGGTATAAGGTTCCGAAAATAATATTTTCATGTCTAATTAGTATATAAGGCATGCACTGCCCTATAAGGCATATACACAGGGATACCATCTAGGTCTTTAGGTGGAGAACGCACAACGGGTGTTGAGTTGTCTGCTACACTTGTTGATGGACACAGCACCACATCAGCGGTGGGATTTTGTGTGTGGTGATTTTGGAATATCGGACTCTCCAGTAGGTCGAAGGTGTCTGCGGTTGCGAACCAGGGTGCCGCCGTTAGACGTATCAACAACATACGATTTAGGTGTTTCAGTTTGTTGTTTCACACTATACCGGATTCCCATTTATGGCTGCGATGGTTGAAGATACGAACGTTGCATCGAAGGTTTTTAAATGATCCCATCTTCCAGCATACTCATTCCAATCAATCACTTCCATGTCTCCAGTCACTTTCTCTGTCGTAAATGCACTGACGTTATGTGTGACTTTACCATCTAAGCTCTTCAATTCAAATTCAACTGGCATCGTTACAAACGTTTCCACTTGTGTTCACTGTCGCTTTTTGAAATTTCCCATGTAGTCCCAATTCGGCAGCTACGTCAGTGTTAATATTGGTTTGTGTGCTCGCATCGTCCAATAAAGCATTCACCGTATCTTCGCGATTTCTATTTTTGAGAACTACAGGTACTGTTCGTAATGCTATGACTTCTTTCCGATTTCCAGTTGCTTTCTTGTTGTGTAGGACCGAGTGCTGTTGTCACCTTGGTTATCATCTTTTCTAGGCTCCATTTTGACGTCTGTTTGTGTGGCGCTGCAAGTAGTTCTAACAACTTTTTAAACGCTTTTGGTTGGTTGATATATTGGTTTTCTCTCTAACTGTTTTCGGCTGGAATCGTTCCAGTTGAACGTTGTATGCAGTAGTTCATGGTGTGTTTTTTGACAGCCATTCTTTTTCACAAACTCTCTTTGCTGTGCATGAACTTCCAACGTGATCATGATCTAAACATCTCCATGTCGACCATCACAAGTTGAACAGGCTTTTGATTCTAACTTCGACCTATTGTTTCATCCGAAAAATGTTTGTTGATGATAAATCTTCTTTCTTCTCGTTTCTAAGCGATATGTGTAACCATGAATTGTCTCAGATGCTGTTGTCAGGAACTCTATTTCTTGTAACATCTTATCTCGCAGCACTAAAACCGATTCTATTTTTCTGTTTTCATAGATCCAGCGATGATATCGAACAAGTAAAGATTCAGTGAGTTTTTTTCTGCAAGGTTACGTAAAGAACACCGTTGCCCAATTCTTCGTCGCGATCAGCTTCTTTTAGGTTAACAATCACGATATCGAGAACCTCTGCGATTTTCTCCAACTCTTTTGGGTTCTCGTCTTGCATGGGTTTCAATCAATCGAGTTGTTCAAGATATAATAATCTTGCCTTTGCTGCTTCGTAGGAAGCTGTTGAATGTCCCAAATTCTGAATTGTTCTTAATTATGCTTCGCCAGACAGACATTAGGGCCATTTATACGAGACAAAATAAGACGCGACTTACATAAGACGCGACTTAAATAAGACGCGAGTTTGTCGTGTAAAAGGCACAAAATTCTTATGTAAGACGCGTCTTGGATAGGACGCGACTTAAATAAGAACAGGACTTTTAGCTGTTCTTATGTAAGTCGCGTCTTAAATAAGAAATTTTGGACAAACATTCTAACTACACATGCCCGAAACTTGAAACAACGTACAATTATTAGCCTTGCATATTAAAACAAAAACAACCGTAACAACATTATAGCTATAGCAAGAAAATAAGAATAAAGCCGTAGATAACCATTTATGCGATAACTCCGCTTATTTAAGTCGCGTCTTATGTAAGTCGCGTCTTATTTTGTCTCGTATAAATGGCCCTATTGTCTCAGTTGAAGAAGTTTATATTCCGGCGTTGCTGGTGCTTTATCAATAAACGCAGTAAAAATTACTTTTATCGCCATTGAACATAGGTATCGGGCAACGCGTCTCAGTTGCTTCCAGAGATCAGCGCCGATTTCACTTGGGGATGACTCTAACTTTGTTTAGGTATACTTTGTCTTTGGTACTTTTCCCCATCGCTGCTCGATGAACTTTCGACCTCTTGCCTGCTGAGCTCGATTTATAACTTCACTAAACTCATGCTCCATTTTTTCGATCTCTTCGATAGTTTTTGTTCTGTTTTGGCGGTCCATTCTGGTTGAATACTCCCCGATTAAGGCTAGCTTCGAATATTTCCATAAGTTGTTCTTGCTTAATAGTTAGCTTTTCACAGGCTTCTTTTACTCGATTTCGATCCGATATTACGATGCATTCTTCTTCTAATAAACGCAAAACTTGATTTTTTGCTTTCGTAAAGGCAGTTTTAGTCAAAGCTTTTCAACACTGCCGATCTCCATGTTCACGTATGTGTAGGTTTGCCGTTTCCATCACTCGAATCGGCAACCAAATTATCTAACGGTTTCTCTCCTCAAAACTAAATGAATTTAACTAAGAGACCATTTCCTGCCACCAATAAATGGTACGAAGCGAAAATAACTCGGTCGACTCGATTTGAACTGATTTACTTGAAATATATTACAAACACTATACATACTGCTTTTTCACACAACTCATTTGTAATTCAAGTTGTTCATATTCACTACAACAATTAGTCACGCATTCCTTCTGTTCAGTACTCGGCAGTGTTCCCATTTGTGTTAGGTGTTATTTGCAATTGCAAATGCCGTAATGTTCATTTTTATGACCACCAAATGCAGTAATTGAGAAGGTTGCCCATTCAAATTGTAAAGTGAGTTGGGATAAAGCTGTTCATACATATCAAGGGGTAACACATTACCTTCGGCACCAGTGTCTATCTTACAAGGCACTGACTTGGTAACTTGACCTGAACTGACATTTAGATCAACAATGGCTTGCGTGTTATACTCATTCAAATTATCAGTGCTAGAGTGAAGATATAGTTGTGGTACTACTGGGTTTGCTTGATCAGGTTGTTGCTCTAGGGAGTTCACCTGCTTTTGGTGTTTTCCCTTTGGATATTGTTGAGACTTTCCATGGTTTTTACCATGTAAAGTTGGTTGCTTTCCTGAACGACAAACGCCTTCCCCAGTGGTGTAATCTGTTGCAGTTTTTACATCTTGTAGTAAATGCAGGACAGGGAGAGCGACATGGCTACATCCACACACAAACTTTCATACTGCTTTTATCTAGGGTTGGTTGTTGCTTATGTTCTAAGGCGTGTATTGAGCTACTGGGCAGATACTTTTCTGGTTCGCTATGCTTGTAAATGAATATAAACTAGACGTTTTAATTCAAAAAAGTTCGAAAGATGCAAAATTTGAGCAATGTATATATCTGTGAGTTCCCCTTTGTTATGCGCAGAATGAACTTTACAGCATCTTTAAAATAATTTATAATTAATGGTTTGAAATACACACCTTCGCAATAAATTGAATTACGGTGCGTTTACGAAATTATTTACTCAACTTTTACGAAGATCCATGATGACCACCTGCATTTGATCAAAATTCACAAGATTCGCAAGACTCGCACGACTCGCAAAACTCGCACTATTCGCAAAACGCGCATGACTAGCAGACTCGGAAAATAGCCGACCTCAATGTTTTCCTGTTCCGATTTGGGTTTCAACGGGCCAGAAACTGGTAGATGTGGAATGATGCCTGTGGAAGATCGGCGGCATGCCAATCTAAGCGAGGAGTTGCCTACCCTGCGAGCAAAGTCCTCTCGTATTTCTTCTCGGCACGGCACGGAGAAGCGAGAGACTCGGCAGAACTTGTGTATAAATTCATTTGAGCATGCGCGAAGGTTGCTAAGCAACTGCCTATTTCCCAGAAGAAGATTTAATAAGTAGTTTCCGGTTCGGATCAAAACCGGTTATAAAACCGGTATCAAGTTTTTGGATTGTCGGTTCCACAAAGAATATACACAAGTTCTGCAGAGTCTCTCTCGCTTCTCCGTGTCGTGTAGAAATTCGAGAGGACTTTGCTCGCAGGGTAGGTGTTGCCAAGCCTGTGACTGCCATTTTTCGTCTGTTTTAGCGTAGAATTCTCCACTACATTCACCGACCAGATGTATTAGTGTCTCGAGAGTTGTTTAAACTTTTAAAAAATCAGCCACACCTGACACCATGTTGTAGTTTGAATCACGTTTTATTACTAACTATAAAATAATACATATAAGATAACTCATGAATTTCAAGATGGCGGATGACTACCATATAAGGCATGCACTATCCTATAAGGCATACACAGGGATACCGTGACAGTATTTTAATTTTAAATTAAGTCGTTGCCCAATCAGGTTTGATAAGGAGGAAGTTGGTATGAATTGTTTAAAGGCACAGTAAGATCATCACACTTTTAAAATGTTTTTAACATTCTAAAACATTTTTATTGTTTAAAACATTGAGTTTACTGATATTGAATTATGCAACTGTGTGATAATTGCATTGTCTTTTAGAGAGTTATAGCTGCAGGCCCTTTCTTGAAGGTACAGATTTTACTCGAGAGAAATAGTAAATCACGTTAATAGCCATAAAATCGACGATTGTTTACGGCTATGTATGCGCGTCTAGGCGACTTTGAGTGTCATGCTTTCTTCCTTCTCTGTTTCAATGTTCACGCCTTTGGTTTCGTAACTCTCGTTTCAATGGTTGTTGCCGACCAACCCAAGCGCCTTCATGATTTGCGCTCTGGTACATGAAGTATAGCACTCACAATAACGAAGTCGAACGGTTTTATTTTCGCCCTATGTTATACAAATAATGAATGTTTATGAGTGCAATGGTAAGAATATTTTCATGAGGTGAGAGATGGAACCAATGGAACATTCCATCTTTCACCGAATGAAAATATTCTTACATTTGCTTGAATAAACATTCATTATTTGTTTTATATAATACCGAAATAGACTAATAGATTCGTATGAGAAGCATTTTGACGCGTACGGATGCGATTTATCGAAAATACAAAGAGTTCAATGGAATAAAACGTATAGTACAATTGCATTCGCAAAGAGTGCAATGGAACGTATTCCATTGCACTCTATTTTCTATTCAATATCACGTGACCATAAACAGCCAATTAAACGATCAGAATTCAATAAGGTATTATATAAAAGACCGATACGTTTACAGATCAAAAATAATACAGAAATATCTAAATAACATTACCTTCACATAGTGGAACCCAGCTTCTCGACTGCGTAAAAGATCACTTTTGTAAGTGTAACAGGTCATGGTTGATGCATTAGTTCGCTTTGATCTAATGATAGCAGTAAATCTGTCACACAGTTACTGACCAACTGGCACGGGGCGAAAAATTAGATTTGGCAAAAATTTGCAGGCGTGCAAAACAGTTAGCAAATTTGATGACTAAATTTGCAGTAAATTTGCACGCATGCAAATATCAAATTGGCAATCATCAAATTTGCTCACCAGTTGTCACCAAGTTTGCACGCGAGCAAATTTAGAACCAAATTTGCGAAGAATTGGCGCACAAGCAAACCTGTAGCAAATCTAATGATCAAATTTGCAGATTGATTTGCAAACGTGTAAATACTGGTTTGACCACCATTAAATTTGCAGCCGGTTTGCATATATATTTACACGCGAGTTTATTTAGAAGTTTGTTTTGGTTTGCACACTAGCAAAGAGTTGACTGGTTACATATATCCCCCAAATTTGCAAACGGATTTGCTTATATAAACCTAAATATGTAAATTCATTTACAGATTTGCCACGAGTTTGCGTACAAGTTGGCACGTGAGAAAATCTAAAAGATTGTGGATAAGTTTGCACGGTAGCAAACCCTTTGGAAATACATGGATTTGTCGAAAACTTTGCGAACGGATTTGCTTATGTAAAGTTTAATATGCCAATTCATTTCCAGATTTGCCACCAGTTTTCGTACAAGTTGGCACGTGAGAAAATCTAAAAGATTGTGGATAGGTTTGCACGGTAGCAAACCCTTTGGAAATACATGGATTTGTTTGGACGTGAATTTGCACTTGAGCAAGTTCGAAATTTCGTTTAATGCTTTGCATGCACGTTTGCAAACATTTGGCTAATAGTATAGATTTGCCTTAAATTTGCGAACGGATTTGCTCATGTGTAGCTCAATATGTCAATTCAGTCTCAGATTTGCCACCAGTTTCCATATATGTTTGCACGTGCATGCAAACTTGTATAAAATAAGACGACATATATAATAATTTAATTTGGGAAGAAAGTATAATTTCGTTTTGACTTATAGTTTAATGCAGAGAAATTTGATAGTGAGTTATTGCATATAGTTAATAAACAACTCGTTATCTTTGTATAAGTGGTGGACGTAGATGTTTTTTTTCCCAAATCCACCAATATTATTAATAATAACAATGTTTAAATTATCCCCATTATTTTAAGTCATCGGTTGCTGACTGCTATAAGATTGGAGTTCGTATAGCTTGCGAGTTTGCGAGTCCGCAACTTTCGAGGAAAGTATTGGTATCAAAGAATACCTGAGATACAAAGTCCAACTGAGAAAATGAAATTGAATTAAACCCTTCTGTGTAATTTTCTTTTTATTATATAGTCGTAAAGCCCAGTCGGCAATATTAACTTTTGATCGATAGTGCTGGACTTTTCAACAAATCAATCCCATAATAATTATTGTCCAAATTCAAATAATACCTTGGCATCATTTTAGTGTTTTCTTGTCAGTATAATGTTTTCTGGACAGAAACATGTTTTTTCATTGAATAAAGACAAAAATTGGTTCGCTGCGGACCAGCGTTGCCATTTTGGGAACAAATTTATTCGTGGGAAATTATCACGTGACCTACATCTTCACTAGTGAAGATTATGGACATCTCACTGTGTATTTTTCGTTTTCTCAATGCCTTCTATAATTATAAGAAAGGAATTATTGGCATACAAATAAAGATTTTATCGCTTCATGCCCTTAAGCACAGAATAATACCTCACAGAAGTCTACCTCTATTGCTTTTTGCGTAAGCTGTATTCGTCATGATTCGGCCCTCAGCAAGTGCCCTAAACAGAGGCAATCATCCCCCAGAAATATTGAGAATGTTGTTTTATTCAGGGATGACTTCCTCTGTTTAGGGCACTTGCTGAGTCACAAATCATGAATAACGGTCCTTAAGGGACATGAATTTGTTAAATACAGATAGTAAAATAATTAGCATATTTTATTTACTAAGATTACTTTCACGTGATTGTAATTGCGGAAAAACGGAGAGTGGTCTTATACACGGGACAGAATTAACATTGAGCTCATTCTGCTTTTGGCTTGGGCTGCGCAACGTTTTCTTGAATCAAGTAATTTCTGACCGCCTTTCTTCCCCGTTTTGAGGCACGCACTATCGAGATACTTGTATAGAGAATACTATAATAGTTTGTGAGTTGCGTTGTTATTACCCTCACCTTTTCTGTGTTAACTGTTGATTAATTACTTTATTTAATACTTTGTTATGTCAGTTATTAACTCATTTATCGAAAAATCAATAAACCGGCATGTACACATTGCCAAATTTATTTCAATACGAGTCTGACATCTTTACAGAAAACGGAGCTCATAGTCACAAGATATCTGCCAGATGAAGTTTTAATTGAAGGAAGTGATAATTTAGCATATGTTGCGGTGATGACAGTATCTCATCAATTTCATGGTAGCGTGGCCTTAACCAGTCGGCTATGTCAGCTAAGTCTATGCACTATGCCGTACTCAGCACCCTGGGAGGAAACTCTTGCCAACTCCATCTTCCATGGGATCGGAATTTCTTCAATTTCGATTTCTTCATTGCATCAACCTCTCTCTCTCTTTTTGGATGAGTCGAGTCTGAAGTTAAATGCAAAGGTACAATGACGTTAAATGCAAAGGTACAATGACGTTACAATGGCGTATAACTGTGGCGTATATGACTTATATTGTGAACAACTACCATAAAAGCCTTTCACAAAATAGAGTGGTAAATCAAAATTAACAAACCTAAAGAAGCACAGTGCCTATTGTACTTGTGCTCATTGCATGGAGGTGAGCGTTATAAAATGGAAAGAGGCGACGCTGAAAATAGCGAACCTCACGTGTCATTTAACTATCCAGATAAAACAGAGTAATTAAGCTGATCTGTTTAAAAAACTTGCGATAGCATTACTTCACATGATTACAAAAGACTAAAATCGAAACTTCGAAAAATCCAGCACGTAATTGTAATCCAGCACGCAAAGTAATTTGGAATCTCAACAGACAAATGCAAATCAAGTGAAATTAAGACCTCTTCGTTTGTTTACTCACTTATCATATTAATATGCATTACCTACGTAATGACGATCATCAAAAATGTCCTTGTTCAAAAAGTAAGCGATATTGATACAAAAAATCAAAGTGTGTACGTATATACTGATGAAATCTTATCGCCAACGCTACATTGTCTTTGGACTTATTGAACTATAATAATCAGCGGCTTTTAATCATTGAACTTCAACACCAAACGTTAATTCATAGACGGATTTTCTGGGGGGTGGGGGGGGGGGGCCCAATAATATTAACATAACCCCAAACAAAATGTCCACCCCTCCAAAAAAAATTTCAACCCCCCCCCCAATATTTGGCAAAATAAAAAATAATCAAATAGTCCACTCCAACATGCAGAGTGTTGATGATACAAAATAAACGTAGGAGTACACTCAAATAGAAAAAGACAGTGCAATTCTCTGAAACTAATTGCTCCTCGCTTGCATTCACTGGTTTATTCCCCTGAATAGAGTTTGCAGTGCCTTGTCATGCAAATAGCTTGCTTGCAAGGAACGTTTGGAAATTTTACGAACATTATTTTTAGTTTTTAATTCTTTTAGGAAATAGTCTTGCCTAGATTTAATCTTTACGTCCCAAATATTATTTACATCGGAGTTACATCATAAATTGTACTCGGATTTATAAAAGTAAAAGCATATTGTGTATTGGCCTATTGGGTTTACACTTTTACAGGTTCATTTAACTTTAACTCTCTCAAGTCTCAACAGACAATTGGACAGCCCAAATCCATTGATATGACAACTTCAAAAAACGTTTTTTTCGAAGCTAGAAATCATGATTTTTTTCAAATTTTTCCAGGGATACTTTGTTTTCTGCTCTCTAGACTCCCACTCGCGGCTCTAGTGCTCCACCCCTAAAATATAGACCTTACTGGGTTTTGGTGACACTTTGTGTTGCTTCAGTCACCTGCTCGCGGCTCACCCCCCTAAAATTTCTGGCACCACCCCAGTAAAAAATATGAAAATTCGTCTATGCGTTAATTTTTATGAAAATGAATAACAATACAGTAGATCTGAAAACATTGAATATCAGTTTAACAATGTACGTTTAATCCATAATAATTAAATGTTAAATCACAGCCAAAATCGTAAAAACGTTTGCAACAATGTTTGTGTCAATGCTCACAAATGATATTTCCTGTTTAAAGGCAGAACAAACAAAACATTCTCACTAGCCACCTTATCATAGGCGGGCAAGAACTTTCCTCTTATCCTCTGAATAGGTACAAATGAAGAAGCACCAAAGCAATCAAATAGGTTTGCGCACCAGACCTCAGGAACGACATCGGTCGTACCACAATGGAAACGGTGTGGGTGGTATTGAAACCACTGAACACGCGCAAAGCAAAACGTGTAAACCTGGTCGTCAATGGTAACATTTTGCTTTACATAGTAGAGCACAACACCTGGTCGGGCATCAGTAGCATCCAGATTTACATTTCCACCATAATGATCAGCCCACTTGGCGAGAATGAAGGAAGATCGATGCAGCCGAGAGAAACGTGACCCATACTGCTCACCGGCACATTCAATAGATGCGTACTTATCATAAAACGCCGGAATGGTAAACAACGGTACATGGGGGAAAAAGATTTTATAAACCTCTTTAAGGTACATTAACTCATCCAGATCAAACTTTGCAAGGGTGTGAGGTGCGACAAAACGATAATTTGAAACATCAAACCATAGCTCATTCACAATATCAACGACTCCATCAGCCAAAGTTAACAATCTCAGTACACTTCCACGATTCACGTGTAATAGGTTCAAACTGTCATCGTCTCTCAGTTTTTCTAGTAAAGGTTGAAAATGACCTTTCAAATCGTCAGGAAACTCAAGACGGGAAACAGCTTGATCTTTACTAAATTTTCGCATCAATTGCAATTCGATTGACTTGTTGTTCGTATAGAAGTCCCCAAGTATCCCATTGTATCTCTCGAAGCTGAAAAGCCAAAACCCGCAAACAGGCCCATAATCGAATATGCAGTCACATAAATGTGTATGCAAATGCATGTTCGGAGTGATGCTGAGGTTCCCATACAACCTTTCGAATTCACGACAAAATTGTAATAAATGAGAATGGCAAGATGCCACATCTCTGAGATAAACCATGGGTGTACAGACCAATTTACACGCTTTAACAAATTGTAGCCAACAGCGGTAGTGGTCCTCTGGTAAAATATCGTATAAAGCATATGGAGAAAAAATTGTAACCCAGTTTTTCCACTGATCGGCAGTAAAACCGGAAAATGATTTAGCAATCTTTCCAGGAAGGCGTCCAATGTTGGTTGGAACATGAACTTCGTCCACTTTTTTTTGGACCTTTTCTAAATCAGCGGATGTTAAAATAGATGCATTTAACCATGTCTCCATTGTATGCTTGGCTGTACCGAGAAAAAGATTGTGCATAGGGTCGATAACAGTGAATCTTATGCAATCAAAGTAAGGTAATCTGAGAAGCTCAGAATACCTAACTCCATAGTTTGATTCTGCTTTTTTCTGTTCCTCGTGGGTAGTTTTGCTTTGCACCTCGTTGACATGCCGCCTATGCTCGATATCATTCCGCAGAGGGCACGGTTCAAATCCAGAGAAATCAGTCTTATCACCTACACTACCTGTTACAAACGTTTTGGTGCACTTATTACACCCATGGGCAGAATTATGACCAGTAAAGCCGCAAACTTTTCTACTGGCAGGTATGTCGCAAGCAACACACAAGAGGCATGCTTTAAACATTTCAGGAATGCACCAAGAACCATCATGTCGTAGTTGTACCCCATCGTTCCATAGAATAAGGAGTTCGTCAACAAGAGGAGACAAGTACGTATTGATATTCAATGGTGGTTCACTTGGTCCAGGAATAATACCAACAAGAATAACATTTTCGGGTTTGAAACGAACACTCCTGGGAAGATTCATTAGAACTAGATACATGACACCGACAGAGTAGATGGTGTGCTTGAAGGGTTGCATCCAGTCTACGTTGAGCATGAATGCATAGTTCCGAGGAGCAGCCAGGAATGGAACGTCATTCACCACTTGAAAATCTCGCCACACTCTACCGTCAAACACATCGCACATAACTTGACTAACGGAACGCACCTCGCGTTGTCGCCACAACTCACAATGATAGGTAAAATTGGAACGCTTCACAAGCACTCGCAGACTTTCTATGATACTTTTGTAACAGTAAGTTTGATGTGGGTAAAGCTTTTTATTCTCATCTTTCAAAGTCACTTCCTTCAACAGAGTAGCATTACATTTTTGCCTTCGCCATTGCTGTCTGTGGTTAGGAAATCTTACGAAAGTGCATTTATTTGAAACTCGACTCGTTCCTTCTCTGTGATGACATTTATCGAACTCGTACAGTGCGTGACACTTTGGGCATACCACGTACTTCACAAATACGTCATTGACAAGCCCGATCTCCTTTCGAAAATAGTATAGTGTGCCAGGAAACGCAATGGCAAGACCAGCTATCCATTGACTTGATGCACCAGCTATTTTAAGAAACCTTTTTAAACTACCAAGTAGAAATTCCATACCGTTATCAGAAACATGGAATGAAATCCAAAAGTACGCAAGCAATACAACCAGACACCTAGCCATTAGCACATTCAACGAACGACAAGGAGAATTCATACGCACATTAACACTTGGTAACGAGTCATTTTGAGGAAAATCGTTCTCAACTTCGTCAGCACCAACTTCCTCCCATATTTCGTTGGTAAGCAGCTCCTCTGCGTCAAACGAAAGGTTTTCAGCAGTATTGCAGAAATCACCATCCTCGTCTTCTGATGGTGTGTCCCTGGGTATTTCCATCAACAATTCGTCAAATTCATCATCGATATCGCCTTGTTTCTTCTGCCAAGTATTATTGACAGGGTTAAAAAACTTATCACGGTGATTTCTAAACGTCCTAGCAGGCAAATGACAATCACAGTGAGGACAAAACGTGAGATATTCGCAATCTGACATACTTCAACCAACAATCAATGAACAAGATCGCACAGAACTTTGATTTGCCTTGGATGCTTTTTCGTTTCCATGACGATACAACAGGATAAATGAGTAAAAAGGGGCAAAGGTGAGAAATTAAGGATACATATATACAGATAGGAAAGCAAGAGGATAGGTATTCGAAATACCCTGACCAATCAGCAGCGCGCTTTTGGAAAAAGAGCGGGAAGATAACCCCTCGAAAACTTGTTTTTTTTACTACAACTTGCTTTGAGATCTCAAGTGGCTCGACAAAACGGTGTAAAAAGATCAGCAAAAAGGTTCAAAGTATGGATGTGAGAAGACCACCACAAGACTCGTTGGATGGGGATGATTTGCTGAGACGAATCCTGCAGACCCAACGGACAATCGTTGAGCAAAATGCCAAAATTCTCGAGGGCCAAAAGCAGCAAAGGGAAGCAAAAGAGAACAACGCTGGTGAGAAAATGCAAGTTCCACTAGCAGTTAAGGTTAGTGCAGCAAATTAATGTCTGGAGTAGAGGGTAGGAGGCTTAACTAACCTGAAAAAAAACTGAATCTTGGAGCATTTTAGTGCTGAAAATCGTATTTCGACACAACAACAAACCAGGAACTCAAGGATATACTATATCATACTATTGAAAAAAAGCATGGACACTATATGCCCAGACATGAAATATAGGGTCGAACAGGCTTGAAAAAGCTACGATTGTATGAAATAGAGGGCTTACTCGACAGCATTCATAATTTAAATTTTGTTTTGAGCTTATTTCGATCGGTTTTATTCAAGGATGAGAGCAAAAAATTATGCCTTGTACAATTTTGAAAAACATTTTGAGCAAAAGCCCTTAGACTACAAAGGGCCTCTGCTTGAAATGTCAACCTGTTTTGTCTGTTTGTACAGTTTAGGTAGTGATAGACTACATGTATTTGCAGCTTGTTGATGTTATCTGGCCATATATTGAAGTTATTTGCTAGCTCAATTGTTGATGTATACAGTACCTATTTGAACATTAAAGCATGCTGACATTGTACTAAATGCTGATATGATCTAATTTATTTGTAATCCAGCTGTCCGTAAATCTCAATTACATTCTGTGAAAGCCCGAAATGTTATACATTCAGAACAGACATTTTTCAACCAAATTCCAGTTTATTAGAGCAAATGGCAAACTGGTAATTCAGACATTTCACCAGATAACCAATAACAGCATGTCAATTCTTCTATACATGTAGGAAGCCTGGTGGGTATGAAATAAACTTACAGGCATTGACAAACCAAATTTCAAAAAAATGCTATAAATACAGTAACTATCAAAATTTTCACGTACATACACAGGGAGCCCATCCCGGGTCTTATTGAAGTTATGTATTGGAATTACGTATGAAATATATAGCTCAGTGTTGAAGCCAGCGACTTGCGGGCTGTGTGCGGGCTAACGTGCGCGTTGAATACACAATAAAGAAAATAATAAAGGGATGAAACATCGACGAGTGCCTGGAAGCCCAGAATTCAAAGCACAATATCAGTGTGTTTAAATAAAAAGGTCAGAGTTTTATTACGTTGTAAGGTCCTCTAGGGCCTGTTCTTTCATATCGTCTAGCCAAAACCTTCCAAATAGTTGCTAACGAGGAGAAATATTTCGATTGATCGCACAGCAGTGTATGGTTGGATATGTCTGGATGTGTTCCACAGGTTGCTATGACACGCTTAAATGCTTACTTATTTCCTACTACACACTCCACAGATGTCTAAAATCATATGGAAAATATTAAATAGTATTGTAGCTGTTGGCATATTCGAATATAAAACACATATAAAATTTTAGACACATACAAAACAAAATTTCAAAATCAGTGATCGGCCGATCAGCCGGCCGTGAGAATTTCAAAAAATATGTGAATTAACTAACCAGTAAACCGCAATAATTTTTGGATTTTTCAAATTAGTTGCATATGACAAGCTTGTAATCAGAAAGGTAATTTATGAAAGAAGTTCTTTTGTTGAAATTTATAGAAACTTAAATCGATAATTTCTCAATGTCATAGCAACCTATGGAACACATGCTTCCAGGCACTCGTTGATGTTTCATCCCTTTATTTTTTCCTTTATTAAGCATTCAACACATGCTTAGCCCGCACACAGCCCTCACGTCGCAGGCTTCAACACTGAGCTATATATTTCATACGTAATTCTAATACATAACTTCAATAAGACCCGGGATGGGCTTCCTGTGGTACATACATTAATCTTCAATCAAGCTATAAAAATATTAGGTAAGTTAACAGATGTCTGTTATATATACCTGTCTGAGAAATTTCATTTTCATACCATATTGATTCTCCAGGATTGATTTCATATGTTAGTATTTTGAATTATGATTATTCATGGATGAACATTCCAATTTTCAAAGAATTGCATTTGCTGGAAAAAAAATTACGAAATTATCAAATCTAGGTTAAAATTAAATTTCTGATCCCTTGGTCATGGCCATTTAGCAAAGTATGTTCCAGAAAAAGGTTGATTTTCACAATAAGCAATAATCTTATTATAACTGTATATCTAGAGGTGTGTTCGCTCAGTTGTTAAACAAATGGAAACATGGGATGTCAAAAAAAGGTAAAGTACAGGAAAAAAAATGTTGACACACTTTATGTAATAGTCAACTCTCTGGAAGATTAGGCTGTTACTAAATCCCAAACAGTCATTAGCCAATGTGTATAGACGTGAACTTGGAACTTGTTGAAAACTTCAACATATACCTTTGCTGAAAATGTTAAAATTAGCTTAGTTTTTTTCAGGCAGTTTGAACAATCTAATTTCCAAGCTTTTTAATTGTATCACATTGACTCATACTGAAAAATATGAAAATCATTAAAGTATTAGAGGACTACAGCCTGCCAGTTCTGCCCCCCAACCCAACCCCTGACTCCCAATACGTCTGATGATAATAAATTGTATCATCAAAAGACATTAAAGAGAAAATGAAATTTACCCAAGCCTTAAGTTTGTTCATACTTTCAGTTTTAGGCATCCCGTTAATGAAAGAATAAATGTGGCTGCATTATCCAACATAAAGGGTCTTGAAGGAATGGCAAATATTCCTTTACACATAATAACTAGTGAGTAATTAAAATTCAATCAGTCATATAGTTATACATGTATAAACATATAGTTTAAGGTGTACAAAAAGGGGTGTATAGGGTGGGCTTTAGCCCCCTCTGTTTCTGGCTGGGATACATTATGATACGCAAATAACAATATAGGAAAACTGTAAAAACAATTTTAGCCCACTCACTTTTAAATAGCTTCTAAAGCCCCTACAAGTGCATAAATTATTGACAAAATATGTGGGCTATTTTGGACTAATAGGACAAAATGCTAGGCCATTGAAATTATGACAATGGATCATTTTCCATACTTTGCTATTTTTTGGTACACTCATGCAGTATAGTTAATTGCAAACTATCCATATTGTCAATAAATTTTGAGTTGAAGGTTCATTGAGAGTAACAAATAAGAAATTAACAGTAATCAGAATTTTCATACCACTCAAGAACTGAAATTTTGACTAATTTTTACAAGCTTAGGCTGTCTTAAATAAATCGATTATTATAATTATTATCAATTCTTCACTTTGTAACTTTTCAATAGCCATTGCCTGCCCCTTGGGAATATGTTGCAATCATGCATGCCCATGTGACATGGTTATAAGGTTTTCATTTTGAACAACACATAAACATTACGAGAATGTTAGGTGCTTTTCTCCAGCAGTGTGATTAATTGTGTGGTGTCGAAATTAATTGATAAGTATACCTACTTTCAGTGAATCTTTTGGGGGAAAAGTTTTCATCATTGATATCATCATTGATAAATTGAGATAATTTGTCAGGTGCAACTCAATTATCAATTATCTACTAAGACTGGGGGAAACAGTATGTTTTATATGTATTAGGCCAATGTTGTTTGGCTGGAGGCGAAGCCAAGGGCAACAAGAGTGCTCGGGGGCCACAGAACATATGCCATAATGTTCCTAACGTCTTAAAGTCATTGCTAAATTCATTCGCCAGGTGTCACTACATACATGTTTTGCAGTATCGCGAGTCTCAAAATCTGTGAATAATTCACATTTATTTGAGTGAATTCGAAATGAACTCTTGATTCTGAAAAATTGAACAATTGGTATTCCAGAGAGTATGACTATTGTACGACCAGGAAAAAAACGTGTTACACCACATCTAAAGCGGTGAGGCAAATATACGCATATTTCAACACCAGTAGCGAAACCAATTGGACAATTTGATCATGCTATACGGAAATATTTTTGTGTTCATAGACCGTGTTAACAATTAATTTCTACTCTCCATAGAAACGTTCTAAAATTTGCATAGCAGGACCAAATTGTCAGGCTGCCTTCTCATTGTTTAACACTTCGTCGGAATTTAGCAAAGGGTTTAAAATAAAAGGAATAATCCATGATATATAACTGAATAATTTTCTGAACTGAAGTCATCACCAACTTCGAAACCACGTGCAACTTATATTCGAAACGGCTGTGTATAGAACTACAATATTTATACTGTAGAATACAAGATATTGTACTTACATTTTCACTCCACTGAACCAACAGATACCTGGACGTAACAATAGTGTAGGCAGTGCGAGTATCCAGCCAATCTTTTCTGCTTTCAGTAAGCCGTTAAAACTTGAGATTTATTGATGACGACACTAATGCTTAACATACGCGCGAAATTTGCGAAATTGGTAACTATAGGTAACAAATTATTGAAAAACTTGTTACATCCCGCATGTTCGCCCCACTGATCTAATAGTAGACTGGATATAGCTTCTCTAGGTGTGAAAAGTGAAGCCAAATTATATATGCGAAAATCACTTCCGGGGACCACGGAGTGATACAAATTACTATAGAAATGTATGGCGAACAACGTGAACCAAGCTGAATTTTGCCGAGTTTGAGATACTTTGCGAAGTTTTACCA